TGCTCTCTGTCTCTCTCTCTCATTCTCTCTCAAATAAATAAACAAAATCTTTAAAAAAAGAAGGAAAAATTGGACAAAATCCAAATCAAGCAGCATTCTGCAATAAAAAAATAAAAACTAGCCTAACCTCTTCAAAAATGTTGATGTCATGAAAAATACAAAAGGCTGCACACTATTTTAAATTGTAGGAGATTAAAGAGACATAACTACTTAATGCAAGATCTCTAATTGGATCCTCAACTGAAGAAAAACAATCACCCATAAAGAAAAGTATTTGGAAATGGGGGACATCTGAATGTGGGTCTTGTGTCGTATTTATTTGGATTGCTGGGTTTTTAAAGCTTTTTTTGCTGGGTATAGAATTTTAGGCTGGTATTTGGCTCCTGGTACTTTCAAGATGCTGCTATCCTGTCCTCTGGTTTGTGCAGCGTTGGGCAGTGTCCACCTAGTTGCGACCTTGACGGAACAAGAGTTGCAGTAGGCAAATGGTGGAGAAAGCGGTGCCTTGCAGGAATCCAGCACCAGAGAAACCTCAGGGGCGATGAGAAAAATCATGCTCTCTGGGGACTTGAAGAGCAAGCCACACCAGACAGGGAAGGAGAGCCCCTTCCTTCTCCAAAGTCTCCCTAGCAGCCTATTGACAAGGCCCACGCTCTTGCCAGCCAGCAAACCAGAGAGGTTTGACAAGGACTAGCTCTACCACTGTAGGGCAGGCCAGAAGGTGAGCACAGCTGAGGCAATAAACCCGCCAGCGGGGTGGGACTTCTCGTCTTTTCATTTTGAACAGTTCCTCTTGCTGTGTCTTCACGGTCAGCATATTGTTCACTTCCGTGGTGCCTCAAACCACAGTGCGTGTTTGCACAGTCTTTGTCTCACTTCTTTAATCTCTAGAAGTTCTGAGATTTAGGTCTTCCTTCTCTCTTCTTAATATGCTCATGCCTCCCTCCACCATCTCAGTATAGGGACGAGAGTTAAAAACTATCGGAATGTCCTTTTTTACTAAGTCTATCATCTGTCATTTCTGGGTCTGTTTCTTGATTTTTCTCATTATGGTAATTTTTGATTGGATACCAGATATTGGGAATTTTATCTTGTTTGGCTTAGATTTTTATATTCCTTACAATTCTTGAGCTTTATCCTGGGACACTTGCCTTAGAAACACCTAGATCTTTTCAAAGCTTGCTGTTTTAAGTTTTGTTAGCCAGGATCAGCCATCCTTATTTGAGGGCTACTATGGCCCAACTTCTGGGGCAATGTCTCCATATTCTGGGTACTCTACCTGGTGCCCAAGTCAACAAACTGTTTGGGGCCTTATCTACAGCAGACACTATAGAAATCCAGGTGTAAAAGATTGTCACATCAACCAAAGCCAGCTTACCCTAAATGGTAGCATCAGGGGGCGCCTGGGTGGCTCAGTCGGTTAAGCGGCTGCCTTCAGCTCAGGTCATGATCTCAGGGTCCTGGGATCGAGCCCTGCGTCGGGCTCCCTGCTCAGCTGGGAGTCTGCTTCTCCCTCTGCCATTCCCCCCGCTTGTGCTCTCTGTGTCTCTCTCTCAAATAAATAAATAAAGTCTCTAAAAAAAAATGGTAGGGTCAGCCCAGCTGGTTATCTGGTGCGTATGTCTTCAATACACAGTATGGATTTAAACAGAATGACTCCTAATGAAACCTTCGCTTCATCAATTACACACACTCTCTCTCATAGATTTAAGTCCTTCCCTTCCACAAGCTTGTTCCCTCCAGCTGAAAACTCATGCTCAAGTTTTGCTCTCAAAAAACAAAACAAAACCTCCCCCGCCCCTCCACAATGTTCTTCGACCACACGTTCCTCCCCTGGCCATGCCCTCTTTCCTCTTGTGACCGCCCACCTTTCTGAACACTCGTCAATACTCACTGTGTTCACTTCAAAGTCGAACCGCTCTTCGACCCATCGCTAGTTATGTGACTGCTCCTGGCTAAGGTCACCAGAGATTTCCTAACTGCTGATTCCAGGGGCCTCTCTGACTCAAGCTCATTTACGACAAGGATTTAGCACTTCTTTGGAGATTCTCCCCTGCTCTGGCTTCCCTAACAGAACCTTCCAGTCCTCCCACCTTTCCATTACCCCTCTTCAACACTTTTGAAAATAGAACAGTTTTTCCTAATTATTAAAGTAAAATATAGTCACTTTAGAAAACTTAGAAAATACTTTCCCAGTCTCTTCTTCTGGCTCCTTGTGGCCCTTGCCCCTGAGACACAGGCATTTCTCAGGCTTCCACCCTTGGGTCTCTTCGCATCCCACATGTTCTCCCCTGAGAAATCTCACAAGAAAATGATCCTCAAACCTCGGTCTCCAGCCCTTACCCTTTTCCTGTCTATAGATTTACCTTTTCAAAAATTCATGAAAACAATATTCATAGTAACACATAGTTTAAAAAGCCAAAAACTACTAGGCTTGTAAGGGAAAACAGCAGTCTCTGTCTTGCCTCCCCTGCTTCCCGAATACCCCTACTCCCGAAACTAAAAGTCCTACATGTGCTATTTCTTGTCTTATCATCTTAGAGATTATCTGCTGACTTCTACATGGGAAAGGGCACTTGGATGTCCATCAGCTTACATCCCCATTTTTTGTTTCTACGTTCTTCCAACATACTTATTAGAGTATGATATTCGTTTAAATCATTAGTGTTTATCTTATGACTTGATTAGTATTCATTACTTCTGAGCCAGTCTCTCCTAATTTATTATTCTTTTTAGAATTAACAGTGCATCATTTAAGAACTTAATTTTCTATGTTACTCTTGCTTAATCCTTTCCAGACTGCCCAACAGAGGTGTCAAGTGAGAACACTGTGTCTCAGACCCACGGGTTTCCCGTCAGTGACATGTTTCCCTGATGAGCGCTCTGTCCTCCCGGCTCCAGGAAGGGCTTCTGCTCTGGCCAGTTTCAGTTCTCTTCCAAGGCTGCCAGGCCCGGTTCCAGCACCTAAGAGTCCCTTGGGCCAATCCAACAGCAGGGATACTTATGCAGTGTGCTGCTGTCATCAAGGGACTCCGCTTCCTTTCAGACGGGTGACACTGAAAGTATAGTTTAAAATGCTAACGAAAGAGCGCTTGCAGGTCTTCTTCCCGTCCCGGCTAAAAGGGAGACAGTTCCTCGGACTCCCCACTGCAAGTCCTTGGACTCTGTTCTCATGGCTGCCACCAATAAAAATTAAGGACTTAAAAAATCTCTTTACATTTTCTGTCAATATTCATGTTGTAAAGCATTTTAGGAGGTCCTTTAATCACATAGTTTAAAACAGTAACAACTGTCGACAATGATCTAACGACTGGTTTTTCACTGACCTAGTCACACAGTCTTCTCTGGGGCACGAGTCAGCTCTGATGCTTGGCCAAAACCAATGGCACAAGGTCAAAAGGCACTTGCACACACCTGACTGCGGGGTCTGTCACAGTAGTGACAGACAGATGTTCGTAACTACGATCAGGTGCTTGAAGCTCTTGGCTGACAGAAGCTGCTCTAAGGAAGTGTCATTCCATGGTGAGACTGCCCAACAGGTAACCAAGGGATGCCTCTGTCTGTGGAGGGGTTACCTGCGGCGCGGGCCACACTCCTGTGGTAATGCCCCTAGAAGAAAGCATCCCATAAAGAAAATGGAAATTTTTTTTTTTTTTTAAATATAAGGCAGGTCAGACTCAGGGAAACCAAAACTAGAACATCCAAGAAGACGCAGTAACTTTTGCACCTTAGAAGCCACGGCACCTGAGGGGGTTGACATGGCTCCTGACACTCCCATTTCCCTTTTACGTCATCATTTCAACAATGGCATATCTCAAATCGCTAGTGAATTAGTTGAATGCTCAATGTTTAAAAAAGGGGGTAATCTCTTATGTAGGAATTAGGAAAAGGCAAAGAAAAAAGCAAAGATAGAAATAATTATCACATCATATCCTAAAAATTTACATGTACCATAGTAACCTGTAAACGTCTCCCAAGTATTTGTTATAAGTGCAAATAAAGAATGTAATTAAACTTTCAAGTAAAACTTATTTAATGATATAAAAACAAGGAATTAAATACATTTATTATGAGCCAAGTAACTTCAGAAGTCTTCTGACTTTATAAGTGAAAAATAAATGAAAACTGCTCTGTTTTCCATATCAGAAAAACAAAACAACTCCACCTGTTACTTCTCATTTCACATCAGGGTAATTATTCTAGTGCTACTCAACCTAATACATTCTGGTTCATCTTTTTAGAGTCAGAAACACAAGTGTGTACCAACATTTCTTCCTTAATTTGCTTTCCTAAGGAGGAATGTCAACCTTCTGAGAGAAAATGGAGCATTTATATTCTGGAGCATCTCTCTGTTATCTGATCTTTAACAAAAGTGGGTTTTCATCTGACTTAGCTAACTTTCATTCAGAACAAGCTTGGTATTGTGAACATACAGAAGAAAATAAGACAACTAAATAAAAGCTAGAATTAAAAGCCGATATACAGTAAATGTCCAAAACTGTACGCTCCCCCACAATTCCTAAACTGAGTCCTGGTGTCCAGCCCCACGTCGGTCCCCCCGACTCTGAGAGGCAAACACATCACAACAACAGCAGCCAAGATCTGACGGTGCCAACCCTTATTTCTCCTTGGGTGTTTGTCCCGTGCATGTGCATCTCTAAGAACACATGCATTCCCTAAGTTTCAGGACATAAATAAGGCAAAAAAACACATTCTCTTTGGGGCTTACTTCAGTTCTTATTGAAGCTCTGTGGAATAACACAGAGGAGGCTAAAGAACAACTAGGTGTTGCTTCATTACTGAGTCCAACTAGTTTAGTGAACAAAATAGGTTTCCTTCCTAACCTTCCAACTTCCTGTTTACCTATATAGATCTGAGGGATTTAATCAGTCTGGTCCCTTGGGCAAGAGGGTCAGAAGTCATTGTCGCTCTCATCCAGGGGCTCAGGCTTCCGGACTCTTCGACTGGGCTTAGCTGGCGAGAGAGCAACACTCTCATCTTCCAAATCGTCGTCTTCTTCATCACCCTCCATGTCAATCTCACTGTCCTCAGAGTCCTCCTACACGAAGATAGCAAAGACAACTGAGGGCCTGTCTCACTAGCCACAGCTTGTCAGCCGAGACCGTTGCTCACCAGCAGCTCAGTAACGAGCAATGCCCGCATGTGAAGGAAGAGCTGGGCGGAGCAGCAGTCAGGCTGTGGGGGCGTGAGAGGGGGGCCCACATCCCACACTGCTGGCAGAAATACAAACATAACTGGCTCAGTTAACCAGTGACTTTCAGAAACCAGTGTGTAGCCATGCTTGGTGCTGCAGGGGCTGGCTTTCCCACAGAGGTCTCAGCAACATCACTGGATCTGCACCGCAGCTCACCGGAGGCTGCTCTGCCCCTGGGGGCCCAGACACCCACCAGGGGACAGCAAGGAGGGTGGGGCTTGGAGATTAGGAGGGTTCGTTTTTTTTGTTTGTTTTTTTGCCTTTTACCAGATTAGGGATGGAAAGCCACACAGGAAATGGGCATTAGGAGCAAAATAAAAGGAACACTCTCTCCATCACCTAGATCTAGGGTGACCAACTCAGCCAGGTTTTAAAACTGCAAGTCCTGTGTCTCAGGTAAACCAAGATGGCTAGCCACTCTAGCTAGATCATTCCCACCAGCATACATACATGCTACTATTTCCTTCTTCTTAAAAACACAAAACAAAACAAAAACCCCAAAGTTAATCCCACCTTCCTCCCCAGCTGCTTTGCCCTGTTCTTCTACCCACCCCCGCAACAATAAACTCCTTGAAGGAGTTTTGAACCCACCACCTTGCTGGTTCCCTTCTCACTGCCTCCTCAAAACACTCAGCAGGCTTTCACCTGCCAATCTACTGAAACATTCAGCGGATTCAAATCCAGTGAGTGAGTCTCAGGTGTCTCGTGACCTCTAGGCTGCATTGGGCACAGGACGGCTCCTTCCTCGAAAACCACTCTGCTGCAGGGCACCCTTCTCTCTGGGCACTCGCCCCACCTCACTCCACATCTTCGCTGTCTCTCATACCCCCACGCCCTCCATCTCCATGACTCTGCAACTGGCTCAGTTTAGAGTCTTGGGCCTCCTCTTCTCTTGCTACTCTCTCCCCCACACCATCACATGTATCCTTGTGGCTTAAAGACCACCTAATTATGAGAGCTCCCAAATTCAACTCCAGCCCAGACCTGACCCTTGCACTCTAGACTTGAATTCCAACTGGCTACTCAACCACAGCATGTGGATGGCTGGCAGGCAATGCATGGGTAGAATGTCCAAAACCAAACTCCTGCTCTGCTCTCCAAGCCCCTCCTCAGGCCTGCCCTATCTCGGGGAAATGCAAACTCTATGTATACTATTAGCCCATTATGACACAAGCGAGGCCTCCTTCATTTCTTGCTCTCACACCCCATGTCCAATTAACAAAACCTCATGGTTCTGACCTTGGAAACATCCAGAATCTGACCACTTCTTAACACCTCTGCTGCCACTACCTCAGGCTGAGCCGCCAGCACCTCTGGACTAGTGCAAATGCCTCCTGATGGGTGTCTCTCAATGCCAGTTAGCTCTTGGCACTACTGGGCTCACGATTTCCGTGCCCACTGCACTCAGAGAAAACTCCGGGTCCTCGTCACGTCCTGCAAAGCTCTGCACGGCCCCTACTGCCTCTTACTGCTCCTGCCCCCAGCCCACTCCATCCCAGTCACGCCACCATCTCTGGTCCTCCAATGCAGGAACCCCATTCCCTGGGCCTTGGATGCCCTTCCCTGCGCCACAGCCCTCCTTCCATTCAGGCCTCTGCCCAGTGTCACCTTACCAGAGAGACATGCCCTGACTGATCAAAAGACATCAATCTCCTCCTTCAACCCTGTCACTCTGTTCCCCGAACTGCTTTTTCTTCTTGCCATTATGACCCGATGTATCCAGTTGATTACCACTAGAACATAAGCTCCCTAAGGGCAGGGGTGTATTGCCCATAATCTGTAACAACACCTGCACATAACAGGCACTCGGTAAATATGTCAAGTGGAAGAGTGAACACACAGGGGACAAGCCCGTGTGCCTGCGGAATGTGTGCAGGCAGCCTCCTGGAAGCAAACAAGCGGCACGAGGCACAGGGGAGATGTAAGCTGTAGCCTGGGCATTCGTCTGAGAAAGCTATGCGCACGACCAAGCAGATCGGAAGACGAGGGACCAGATGGTGCTGTCCAGGCATCCCCAGGACTCACGCCAGACTTCTTACTCCTGCCTCGAATGGGTAAGATGGATGGGCAGAAGCTACCTAACCACCCACCCCTGACTATTAAAAAATGTTTGAGGTGGTTTCTCTGCTTCTCTAAGACTACCTTCTGTGATTTCAAGGCTCAATCTTCTCTGTGCATCTTGGCCAGCAAACCTGAGTGACCTTTCCCTCTGTGGAGTTTGGTCACAAAATCCACTGTTGGCACTAAATAAAGGGATCTTTTGTACAAGAATGTCAGGCTCACACTCTGCCCCTCTGTAGCCACTAGGGCCATGCTCCAGACACACGTGGCAGATGACCTGATGAGGAGGTCTGGGGTCTGTGGGCACAGCTTGCCAGGGACTGCCACAAAGAAAGCAGACCCAGGGTGATGGACGGGGCAGCCCTGGCAGCAGGGCCCATTCCAATGAGTTTCCCAGTCAGTATTACCTCAAGGACACTCAAGGCACCAGCAGCCTGATGTCGCAGCCTCCTGCCCAGCCTCTCTGAGGCTCTTGTCTCAAGAGAGCCTCCCTTTCCTGTTTCTTCCCCAGAATGGAACTGAAGAGAGGGCTGGTCTTGGCCTGGGGTTCCCAGGTTCCCTTCTCAGCAGGTTCCCTTCTTTTCCAAGTTATACTTCAAGGTCCTGATAACCTTGGCTCAGCACTCAACCCTCCTCTCCTGCCAGGGACCTTTAGGCAACTGCACCGTTCACTGTAGGCCTGCTGTGCATGGCTCTTGCCCAGCAAGAGGCATCACTGCTGGGGAAGGCTCTCTGGGGGCCCTAAGCTGGTTAACTAACACACACACACACACACACACACACACACGAGATGAAAAAGAAAACCAACCTGCTTCTTGGAGCTGGAATTCTTGCATTTACCTAAGAGAGCTGGTGCTGCTTCCATCTTTAGAAAGTGAGAATGGAAAGAACAGTGAGAAGGAAAAAAAAGGGGGGGGAGGGCAAGCATATTCATTTGAAAAGAAAAGAAAAGAAAAGAGCCATCAACAAGCAGAGAAGAGTCCAGCTCCTTGGGAGGCTGAACTCTGGAGCACACCCAGCAGCGGGCCAGGCTGAGAGGCAGCCCCTCGCATTCAGCTTGTCAGCTCAGCTAGTCTACGAGGCCAGCCTGAGACCGGGAAGAACAGAGCTGCTAAAGGGAGCTGGTCGGGACTCACGTCGTCATCAGAGTCTCCGCCCTGCATTGTGCCCACGATGCGTTTGCCGGGTCTTCCTGAGGAGAACCAAAGCATGAAAAAATTAAGAAAACCTTGTTAAAAAAAAAGAAAGAAAAAGCAAGGAATGGCATTCAAGACTTGTTTCCTTTAGAAAATTGGGAAAAACAAGAATCAACTAAGACATTTACTTAAGTCGCATCCAAATAATCAAAACTGCCAACAAACAGTAATGGATTTTCTACATTTCCACTTCGAAAAAAAGGAAAAGGGTAATAAAATATAATCACTACTCAGAAACCAGAAAACTAAATATGCATCCTGTAAAAGTTTAAAAAAAAAAAAATCACTGAATCCCAGGGTAGTTCTATTTTTACTTTTTGAGGAACCTCCACAGTTATTTACCCCAAAGATACAGATGTAGTGAAAAGAAGGGCCACATACACCCCAATGTTCATAGCAGCAATGTCCACAATAGCAAACTGTGAAAAGAGCCGACATGCCCTTCAACAGACGAATGGATAAAGAAGAAGTGGTCCATATATACAATGGAATATTACACAGCCATCAAAAAGGACGAATACCCAACTTCTGCATCAACATGGATGGAACTGGAGGAGATTATGCTAAGTGAAATAAGTCAAGCAGAGAAAGTCAATTATCATGTGGTTTCACTTACTTGCGGAACATAAGGAATAGCACAGAGGACATTAGGAGAAGGGAAAAATGAAGGGGGGGAAATCAGAAGGGGATACGACCCATGAGAGACTATGGACTCTGGGAAACAAACTGAGGGTTTTAGAGGGGAGGGGGGTGGGGGGGATGGGTTAGCCCGGTGATGGGTATTAAGGAGGGCACATATTGCATGGAGCACTGGTTATTATCTGCAAACAAAGAATCATGGATCACTACATCAAAAACTAATGATGTACTGTATGGTGACTAACATAATAAAAAAAAAAAAATCATCGGATACTGCTCTATCTATGTGGTAGAACAGCTCTAGTATCTGCTGAAAAAAGAAATGCAGTCTCCCTGCATGGACCAATGTTACTTGTATTTGAATCTATGTCTGAGCTCCAAAGAGGAAAACTTTTGAGGCTCACCATTAGTTCATCTTTCAAAACACCCACATTATCTCAGTGATTCTCCACTCTCCTCTGGAAATCACAGTTGCCTAGCTGTGACTTCTGCAAACACCCAGGAGCCGTCCTTCCTTGGCGGGAGGCAGACAGTTGCCCTCACACCCGAGGCTGAGAAAGGAGCACCCAGGACCCAGTTCCATGCTGCGCGAGGGGCAAAAGCAGAGAGGGGAGCTCACAGAGGAGCTCACTCAGGACAGGCCTGGGGTGACCACCAAGAGCTAATTATAGACTTCCCTTGGTCAGATAAAATGCAAATGCAAACCTTATGTTGTCTAAAGCCCTTATTTATAGTTCTTAGATTTTACTTCTGGTGGCTGAGCGGTCAGCAGAATTTAGGAGCACCAGTGCCTTTATTAGGTTCTCCTGAGCCAATCACATACCTTTTCAGAGCCTCAGCTCCCATCTATAGAATGGGAGTCATAACCTCTAACCTCTATTTATATCATGAACCTGTTAAAAAATAAAAGGAAAGGGGCGCCTGGGTGGCTCAGTTGGTTGAGTGTCTCTTGATTTCAGCTCAGGTCATGATCTCAGGGTCAGGGGATCAAGCCCCGCGTTGGGTTTCACACCAGTGTGGGGTTTGCTTCAGATTCTCTCTCCCTCTCCCTGTCCCCCATCCCGTGCTCGCTTGCTCTCTAAAATAAATTTTAAAACCTTAAAAAAAAAAAAAGAGCAGTTAGCAACAAAACTTAATATAAAGTGAAGATAATTTGCCTCTGAAATGTACCATGTATATAAAAATGCAAACTGCTCCAAATATTAACAGATGGTAGACAGATGTTTTAAAGGCAAATATAGAGCAATTTAGTAGTATCTATCAAAACAGAGATTTATATAAACTTTGACCTAAGAATCCCACATCTAATGGTATGAACACTGCAGATAAGCAGAAGGATGTATATATAAGGAAAAGAGGAAAATAAA